GCATGATATTACTAATCGGTCTAAACAGTGTATACCCAATCCATCTCCACTTCCTTCTACTGAATATTTCTTCACCGATAGGTTCTTGCCTCATCGGTTCGTTGCCCAGTCAGAGTTTCTTGTTCTTTATTCTTTCTGGCTTTGTGATCTAATCTTCAGTATCGAGTCAGAGTAGGCGGCAGTTGTTGATGAATGTCTGTAATTTGTTGGAAGTGCTTTTCATGATGCGCCAACTCTTTGAACCATAAATAAGCACTGACTTGACTGAGATAGTGTTGAAAATTCCGATGTTGTTCACGCTTTGTGCTGAGTGGAGAGGAGTGCAGTAGGTATCCACACTGATTTCAGATTAATGAAAGCCTGTCTTGCTGTCTTCCCGATCCTGGTTTCGACAACCTCATCTGTGCCTGTGCCGCCTGTATTTGAAACGATGATGCCTAGGCAGGTAGGTAGATGCATGGATGAGACAAATTCCCTTATGTTTCCACCGTAAATAGTGATTGGTGCTTGTTGTTCGTCGGATGTCTTCATCACCTCTACCTTCTCTACGTTCACTTGAAGTTTTGTCTTCACTGCGCTGCCTCCTCTGTTTACTTGTTAGTTTTCGCCTGTGGATCTTCGAATTGCTGCGACAAGACATTAGACATAAATCATAGTCGAGGAAGCCAAATCTTCTACGCTCTTCTGATCCTTCAAACAGGGTATGCCCATCTTCCCACTCCTCATGGTTTGCTGCAAGATCCAGTCCAGTCGACCACAATCGGGAAGATCATTGGTGATAGTAGGCAGCCTGTTCTCACTCCTGTCTTTACTTCAAAGGCGTCACTGAACTTTCCATTTTGAATCACTTGGCATGTGGGGTCCTCATATTTCTGTTGAATAAGTTGATAAAGATTAGTGGCATTCCATAATGTTGAAGCAGTCGTCAAATTACTTTTCGGTCGACGCTGTCAAAGACCTTTTCAATATCGATGAAGTTGAGGTAAAGATCCAGTTGACTGCCATTCTACACTCTGTTATATGATGATGGGTAGCGAAGCGTTGCAATTTGATCTGCATATGATTTGTTCTTCCTGAACCTAGTCAGCCTTTTCAAGTCGTAATTTTGAATCCAGCCCATCTTTTAGTCTCTCCAGGATGATACAGCATAATATTTCGTTTGGGATAGACAGGAGCATGATTCTTCACCAGTACCTGCAAAGGCTTAGATCTTCCTTCTTTGGGAGTGTGACAAAGCAGCCCTTAGCTAGCCCTACACTGATACTTAATATTAATTTGAGCACCATGGTCGCTACATACAGATTTAAGTATGAAATAATTGTGATGAAAGAAGTTGATATGAAATCAGTAATTCTAAGCAGATGTGATAAGAGGCTGCCAAAATCGAAATGGAAATCAGCCATTAAAGTAGAAGTTTGAGTTTTCAACTTTTATTACATGTTACTGTGTCATCAGGCTGGTCTTTGCCTTCTGATTTTCATGGCTCATTGAAGTAGCGTATCGCATTATTATCGTTCGTGTATATTATCACTAACTACTCGATCAATTCAATGCGATTATGTTTACTTACAGATATCTGCATAATGTTGTTCAGAGAAATAGAGTATAGACTTATTCACTAGGCCATGAAGTCATGCTAATTTCACTCCTCAAGTTAAATAAGATTGACTTTGAGTTCGATTGTGAAACTTATTTATTTAGTTGAAAGTTGATTGGCTTTGTCGATAAACTACACCTTTACAAACACACATACATATATATACATAATATGTTATTGATGTAAAAGCGAAAAACGACGTGAATAACGTCTCATAAGAAGGTTGTAACAAACAGCGAAATAACTCAATGATCAAAATTCTACTGAACTGCTGTTCATTGGTGACTAGCTTCAAGAAGTACTCCCCAAATTCCAATGAGAAGTCCTGACCGGTAAGGGGGGAGGGGTAAAGCCTGATGGTCGTGAAGACAGTTACTCAACGATAACATTGGGTGGTGGTTGCACTATATCGTGAGCTAACACAAGTTGGAAATATCGACCATTGGATTCTGACCAGTGGCTAGCTCAATAGTAACATGCTGGCCACGGAATCTGAAGGTCATAGGTGCGCACTGCTGAGAAGTCCCATACTAGGAGGAAACAGCTGGTTGTCGAGTGCTCCCAGGTTTCCTTTGTTCCTCGAAGTGATATCAGTCTACGATGAATAACAACTTGAAATATTTCCAAATCCCCACAACTCCCTCAAAACTCGATCATGAAATAAATCGTCTTAAATCACAACCAATAAATGCAAACATAAGGATACTGCATATCCATTTACACTGAGACAGATGAGATGTATATATATATATATATATATATATATATATATATATATATATATATATATATGTTTGTGACAGAGAGACAGAGGATTTGAATATGTGACCAAACTGGTCGCAATTTGAAAACCGGCCGACATTGTCAAGTCATAACTCTTGGGTATATAAACAGTTGTTCTTTTAAAAAAATACAGATTAGCTACTTCAGTGTTATGTAGAATGATCACAAGGTGGTTAACAGATCAAGAGAAGAAACCTAAGGGGTTAGATAAACCTTCATTTTAATTTGTTTGACTAGGTGCTTCAGAACACTATAATCGATGTCGTCTAACTGCTTAAAGCAAATAATATGATCAAATGTATTATAGAGGCTTAGATACTACCTTATAAGTCATATATAATGTACGCGAAAGCTCATGAATATTCAGATGAAGGGTTGACCATTCGCATCCATAGTATACAAGTGAAATGTTTAATCTAGTAAATAAGACATGAGAAAACAGTCATCAATATAGTTTCTTAGACGACTTTGTTGATGAATTTGATAACTAAAGGTAATGTAGCATCAAACAGCCTGACAATCTGTTTTTAGATATCAATTAGTAGGACCTTTATAGCATCTAAAAGACAATATCCCTCAACAAGCCACCACTATGTGTGTATCTATCAGATCATCTACTCTTATGGAACAAAGTACATTGGCTGTACCCAATGACACAACAATCAAAGAAAATAACCAATCAGAAACTAGTTCGTCGAGGTAGGCACCTATTAAATCACTCACTTACGGAGAGATATTGACAGCTCACTTCATACTGAAGTTAGCACTGATGATGTCGGTGTCTAGAAAGACGATGAAAGTGTCTCCACGATTAAACAACCCAGCTCAGAGAACACAATACAACCAAGACTATCCATCTGAGCTACAAATATTCTCCTTCATATGGATTACAACCTAAGGAAAAGAAAGCTCATTCACTCACTCTGCTGTCGAATACTTAATATTTGTAGCATAGATTGTGTCCAAGTTGAACTTGACCTTTTAAGAGGAACACTTGCGGAAAACAACTATCCTAGCCAATTTGTTGATAAGAATATACAGACTTTGTTCATGAATTTGCAAATTAAAGATGATATAACATCAGACATCCTGAAAAATTGTCTTTCCAGTTCAGTTAGTAGAATATTTATCGCAGCCAAAAACGATTTAACCTTTAGTAGTCGTAAATTGTTCTCCGTTTGTATAAAAGACAATATCCCGCAACAGGCCACCACTATGTTTATTTGTCAGTACGCCTGCACTTGTAGAACAAGATACATAGGCTATAGTCAGAGACTGTTGTCAACATGTATAGGAGAACAGATTTCTCGTTTGTTGTATAAGAGTGAAAGGAAATACATTCGTAGTTCTATCCTTGATCATTTAATCAATTACAGTCATTCAACCGATTTAAACAATAATTTTAAGGTTGTCTATAGAATTCACTCGAACATTTCACATTTCCTCCATCTTCAACTTCTGAAAACACCAGATACCTTGGCTACATATGAACTAAAGCCTAAACTTTGTGTCCAAAATAAGTAAAGTCTTTGTCGCCACCTCGGTCTTAACTATATTTGGTTTTCGTTTGTTTATTGGAGTCTATGCTTACAACTACTCCCTTTGTCAGATTAATCCTTGTGCTCATATATGTCCTTATCAATATTAAACATTTATTAGTTTCCAGTGTAACTTCATTTGATCTTCCCAATGATTGCTATTTTCTGCAAAATATTTTCATTTCATCCCAATCGGCTTCCTGATTGTTGTCGACTGGAGTGGATCATGCAACAAACTGTGAGGAACGAAAAGATGAATATACGCTGGCTGGACCGATGAAAATACCCTAGAAGATTTGGATTTCGCTGGTGATGATGATTTATGTCTGTCACATAAACTCGAATATCTACAGGCGAAAACTAACAAGTCGACAGAAGAGGCAGGGGAGTAAAGACGAGACTTCCTTCAGATAAACGTAGAAAAGAGAGAGGTGATGAAGATATTCAACCACCACCAACAACAAGAAGCACCAATCACCATGAACGGAAGAAATCTGTAGGAAGTTGTCTCATCCACCTAGCTACCTACTTAGGCAGCATCGTTTCAACTACAGGCGGCACAAGCACAGGTGAAGACTTCAAATCCAGGATCGAAAGGACAGAAAGACAAGCCTTCCTGCACTAATCTGAAATCAGTGTAAAGGTCTACTCCACTCCACTCAGGATAAAGAACAAGAACATTAGTGTCAAGTCAGTGCTTCTATGTGATGGTTGAGAGACTTGGCGTCTTATGAAAGGCATTTCTAACAAACAGTAGAAATATATCAATATCTGTCATCTACGCTCGCTCGATACTGAAGATCAGATCAGATGGCGAGAATAATAAGCATAAGTGACTGGCTGGCTTGGCAACGAACCAACCAACAACCTATCACCCGACAAATATGCAAGAGAAGAAGGTAGAGATGGATTGGACTAGAGCGGAGATACACTGAGAAGACGGTTTGGGGGACTTCACGCGCCAGGTCATCGAGTGGAAAGTCAAATGGGAAAACGACAATCATTATAAAAGTAATTGAAAAAAATGTTTTCTTACAACAACAACAACAACAACAACAAAAGAAAAAGAGAAACTAACTTACTTGCCAAACAATAATCTCCGCAAGAACAGGTTGAGCAATGAATAGTGAATGAATGAATGTACAAATTATAATGCGTATCTCTCGTAGAATACTAATCTCTGAGCCAAGTTTCTATGAAAAGAAGTAATAATTTTTATAAGAATTAGTGATAAAATAAAAATGGAAATATCTATAGATGAAAGAAAAGAGAAGAAATTGACAGCTACATTGCTATTATCACTAAGAGGTGAATCAATGATATCAAGATAAAACTGACTAACAGTCTGAAGTTAACGATAAGTGAAACTACTTCATTATTATTACTATTTGCCCCTTGGGTTCCCAATGGAACATAGAGCTTCAGTAGCACGTCTCCATTCTACTCTGTTCTCTGCAATCTTTTGAACCTGGCTCTATGACACCTCCAGAACCTCTCATTTCTTCTTCACACCATTTCCTCCATGTCACCCTCGGCTGGGACGCCCAACTCGCCATTTCCCATATGGGTTCCACTCGAGTGCCTGGTGAATGATGTCCTCAATCGGCTTTCTCAGTGTATGTCCAATCCATCTCCACTTTCTGCATATTTATTAGGAGATGGGTTGTTGGTTGGTACCTTGTCAACCAACCAGAGTTCCTTGTGGCTTATTCTCATTATTTTGACCATCTCATCTTCAATATCTAGCGTAGGTGGCAGCTGTTGATGAAGAAACTATTTCCTATTTGTGTTCGAATTAGTACATATTCAACTATTCAATTGTATCGATGTTGTCAATTAAGTGTAGGTCTTATCCCTTGGCTTGAAATTCTGTGTAACAACATTTATAGTTGACGAGGCGAATATAGAAGTTCAGTTCGAGAAATTTTTTATTTGGCAACAAAACCACTACAAGTGCTACTGGACAACGAAAACATCAAAGCCGTGTTCAGTGAGAAGTTGGCTAGGCAATTATCGGGACAAAAGACTATAACTTATCCAGAAGAAGCTTAGTGCTACCTCCAGTCTGCTGTAAAAGCAGAGCTGAAGACTGTAGCCGACTCCAAAATAGTGGCAAAAAGGAGCCAGTAGATATCAACAGCTTCTTCCGAACTGATGGATGCACGTCAATGCATGCCTGCAGGCTCTGAGTACAATGAAGAGCGAGCGCAACTAAAAAGTAGATTGAGAAAAAGTCTACGCAACGATCGTGAACAGTGGTGGGCAGCAAAGGCTGAAGAGATGGAAAAGGCAGTGGTGACTGGTAACAGTAAACAGTTATTCAGACTAATTAAGGAAATTGGGGGAAAAAGGTCAACAACAGTTAGTGAGGCTATAACGAAGAAGGACGGATCTGCGATTCACTCGTAGGGGAGACGACTAGAACGATGGGTAGAACACTTCGAGGAACAGTTTAACTGGCCTCCAGCCACCACTGCGTTGCCCGCTATCCAGTCGGATCTAGAACGGAACATTGAGATAGGCCCCCCAACACTAGCAGAAGTAGAGAAAGCTGTAGATAACCTGAAACGAAGAAGGGTGGCAGGAACAGACGGATTAACTCCTGAGGTATACAAGGATGGTGGTAAGGTGTTCTTAGTCAGGTTAATGGAAGTGTTAACCAGTATATGGGAATCAAATACGACCTCCTCTGACTGGTCTGAATCACTGATTATTCCAGTCTTTAAGAAAGGTGAGAAGTCCTCTTGTGATAACCGCAAAGGAATCAGCCTGACGAATATAGTGTTCAAGATCCTAGGTTCTATAATTCTTCGACGTCTGAGTGGAGCTCGAAAACAGCAAGCGCAAAAAAACCAGGCAGGCTTTAGACCCGGTCGCGGGTGTATCGACCAAATATCAACACTACACCAGGTTCTAGAACATAGGCACGCTTACCGACGCCTGATACTAGCTGTATTTCTCGACCTGAAGCCGGCGGCATTCGACTCCGTCATCATAGATATTCTCATGGAGGTCTCCCTCTCGTTACCCGATTGCACGGACGTTGACCTAATCACAGGAGGATTTTCATTAGACCTAGAATATGCAGATGACATAGTCCTGTTAGATGAAGACGCTGACAAGATGTAGAGTCTTCTGAACACTTTGAGTGACAATCTGAGAATGTTTGGGATGCGTTTCTCACCACCCAAATGCAAATTGTTGCTTCACGATTGGTCTTCAACGGTGCCAAGGCTAGCAACAGCGAGCGAAGTGGTTGATTGTGTCAAGCACTTCACTTACCTTGGATGTAGGAACAACCCTGGTGGGTCAGTTGCCGATGAGATCTCGGCACAAATACAAAAAGCTCGGTTGGCTTTCGCCAACTTACGCCACCTGTGGCGCCACCGTGATATCCGATTATCTATTAAGGGTCGCATGTACTACACAGATGTCCCCTCTGTTCTACTCTATGGCAGTGAAACATGACCATTGGAGGTGGAATACATGGAAGGCTAAAAGTGTTTGACCACCACCAATGACTTCGTAGTATAAGCCGTATTCCGTGGTGTCACCACATGAGTAATGCACAAGTAAGAAGTAGAGTTTTAGGGAGAAGAGGTAAGTCAGTTGACACGGTTGTCAACCTTCATCAACTGAGATAGTTGACGCCCCCATGTTTTACGTATGCCTAGTCACCCATTACCTCGTCACACAATGTTGACCGAAGTAGGTTCAGGCTGGAAAAAGGCTCGAGGTGGTCACATTAAAACATCGCACCAATGTATGAAGTCTCTGACTGTTGGTTTCAGCCATGTGGGATGATGAAGACTAGGTGGTTGGGATCAGCAGGACAAGAGGAACCAACAGTGGTTGGAGACTGACTCTAGGTGATCACATGGCTCAGAACCAATGTCAGTGGCATAGATGTTTACGTACATTATCCTCATCTTACGACGCTGTACCTAATCTCACCATATTCTCATTCTTCGTTTCTCTCTTTTCGTATTTCATATTTCTTTTGACTGCATTCTCTTATCTTCATCTTGCACCTCACTACCTTTTTACTTGATGTGGTGATATGAGGTGTGGTGGCAACTCGGACCGTTACGACACAGTAATGCCTGGTCCTATGTTGATATTGATTGGTTGAAGAATGAAATTTCTGAAGTATAATCTGCGTGATACATTTCACTTTTTTAATTTTATCAAGAACGTCAATCTGTTAGGAAAGAGGATGATTTCTCTGGATATTATCTTTCTATTTAAAAATGTCCTAATAATGGAAACTATTTATACTCTGTGTAGCTTCATTCAGTCGCATAAACTAAACGTTGGTATCCTAAATCATTTTATTTAAGGGAACTTCTTCTCATGTGTACCTTCAAAGTGCCCTTCAGACTTAATAACGAAATCTACAGACAGATAGACTTCATGGCAATGGGATTGCCTCTAGGACTCCTTCTAGCTGAGTTCTTTATAGTAAGACTGGAAAACATGACCTTATCGGAAATAATTATCGATCTTCATATCTACAAAAGATATGTAGATGATAAATTTACTTATAACGAGAATACAGGTCTCGAAAGCCTGCTAAAAACCATCAACAGTGCTCATCTAAAAGTAGAAACAAACTCTAAATTCCACTTTCTTAACGTCCAACTTGAGTCCACATATCTATTTACAGAAAACCTACTTGAAATGGGCAGTCTGTCAAATTCACTCTCTTTTCAAGAATACAAAAAAAAATATCCACGGAGGATACCATTTATAATGAACTAGAAAACTTGTGTGAAATCCTGATGAAAAACGAATACTCACTAAAACTTATAGACAAGAAACACTTTTTTTGCCGCCAACCTTAGAATCATATTCTTATGTCGGAAACTTATTCGTCGGGACACAAAGGATAAGCTAGAGCATAGGGTCACATATCAAGATGTATGTGCATCAGTTTACTTTTGCTCTTGTTAAGCCGAGTACATTGACCATAACCACATGCAACACTTGGTTGACAAGCGGAGAATGAAAAGGTATCCACAACTCTGTAAACTTAAGATATTTCGTTCATATATGATAAGTCTTTCAATCACTAATTAATGATAATAAACTCGAGATTAACAAGAAGAAACAGTTGGATTACCTTCTCTTCTTCTGTTGGTAAACAGTATTCCAGGAGTAGCTGAACAATAGCTGAATCTTGTGTTAACAGCATACTAGTACAAAGACGTTCACAGTCTTCATTGTTAACTAATAACTGAGGTGATATGTCCACTTTATTTCCAGTAAGTGATTGTATAGAAGATATTGTACTAGAGGCAGTAGTGTTGCCAGTTGTTGATGTTATTCCAGGAGAAGAAGTAGACACAGCAGTGGTAGATGATATCATCGTTGTCTGTTGGCCTATGTCAATAGGCCTAGGTGAATTAACAAATTTTGAATTAAGTTCATCAACATTCGACATATCATTGGAATTAGAAGTAGGCAGAGAAGTAGAAGAGGTGGGTGAAGATGAAGTTGAAGGAGATCCATTTACACAATTTGAATTCACTGAAGAAAGCATTGTCATCATCATTGCTGGCATACTTGTAGATGAAGATGTATTTACTGAAGTTGAATTACCACGTACAGGTTGAACTCTGTCAATAAGTCGATGTGCCCAATATGACCTCGATGCTAGAAGGCTTGACTCAAGGATACGTAGAAATAAGCGTAAAACGGATGGGCATCTGAAAGAGATAAACATAACAAAAGATTAAACATGTATAGGCAGAAAAAAAAATCGTCATCACTAAAAATAATTTTTTATTAGGAAGAGGATGATGACCATTTATACAGGAAATTTAATGAAATAAACTAAATTCGAACTCAGTCATAATGAGGCATTGCTGGTGTACAAGGGTAGATAGGTACACGTGACATCAGTCGATAAAGTCCTTGACTGTTGGTTTCAACCATGTGGTAAGGTGCTGATTGTCTGGATAAGGTACTCAAGATGATAGGAATCAGTAGTTGAGAACCCTTGGTGCGATAATTGAAAATCCGTCACAAAGGTGCAAACTTTTTCATTCCTTAATTATCTTTCCATGCCTGAATATTTGCAATAACTGTCGTCTTCAAAGTGTTTATTCTCTGGCACACCATCTGTTCTTTGTTTACTACAGTGAAGTGTGATAAGTTGAATCGATGCACTTGTATGCGAGGTGTATACAGATGATGAATGTGCCCAGCACCTGTGTTAACGACCTACAAGAAGAATTGAGGTTCAGATGAATACAGATCAATCATACTTTTTCGTAAGCATACATCTCTCAGACACACAATCCTGCACAAATATAGTCTAGTAGTAAAGACCACTTACCTTGTAAATAGTAGATAATTCAGTATTTGAATTCAGTCTGGACAACTACATTGTTACACAAAAACAGTAGCTCATACATAGCCGGATAAATAAACATTTATAAAGTCGCCAAGTTTCTATCACGAAACATTTTATTGCAAATTAAAAAGTGTTACAGGATAGAACTTACATCTTAACAGACAGAGTAATCGACATTAGGATGAACTGTTAAAACCATCACGAATTATAAGTAAGATATTTATATCACATATAAGATAAATTTATAACGCACCTACAGACTAGTCAAAAATCTTCCAAGATGTAGTTATTACATTATCAGCGTGGAAGCTGAAATTCGGCTTGTTGATAGGGTGAATAACGTGCAATAAAAACAGCAGGCATCTCCTTTAATATAACTCATTTACCAGCTTCCCATGCAGTATCAAACCTTTATGTTGTAACAAAGGTACAAGCAAACACTGTAACAATGCTTGTTCATCACAGTGAATAGTGTAATGCATTTGTTTTTGTATACCATCCCCCTGAATAAACGTTCCTTAGAGGTTGAACGAAAACTTATCAACAGTGAGTCAATACAATCCAACAGTATCAATTAATTAGGTGCTAACGAAAAGGTTGAGAATATCTCATGTTTTATTCGGTTTAGTTAATAAAGCATATATGTGGGTAAATTATGAATGTGAGACAATGAAGTGTATAGAAAATCAGTAATCACGTTACAACACTGAAGTTTAATGCAATGTAAGCAGATACGCCTTGTTGACGACTACCAAAAAGCATGAAACTTAGGTTAAACAAGGCTTTCTGCCAATTGCTTCCATCTAAAGCGCATCCTAAGGTTGAGTTGCCTAACCTGTTGGTCACAATACGAAATGATAGAATTCGGTTGGTCAGCATATAGAACTAGACAATATGATATTGGTTACCTTCCCTACTGACTAATCAATGTATTTAATTTAGTCCTACAGGAGGTCAGTTACAGTTGGAATAGCTGAGTCGCAACACCTCTGACAGCAACACACGCGGATTCATGTCTCAGGCAGGAAATAAGTTTCGTAGACGTTCACAAGACCCGGAAAGTATGACACCCAGTTTGAGAAAGGCTTCCTGCTAGTTGCCACTATATAACTAGTAAACGCCTTTATTTAGTACACACAGCAACCACTCAATATACAAATCTTAGACGACTAATTACTACGCACACAGTAATGAATAAAAAAATTTCCGTTTCTCTTCTCTTCTTTTTTTTTCTACTTAATAAACATTAATTTTCATTTCATTTCTTTCTTGTCCAGTGTATGAAACAAGATGGATACACTAAAGAACACTAACTGAAAGAGAAGCAGGGAGAAAGCAGCATCGTCCAATTTGCTAAATTTCATTTTTTTTTCCCAGAAATACTTTTCTCTTTACCTTAATTATTAATCAGCACGATCAAGATGATGCTATCGATAATGGTAACAATATTGATGAAAAAGGTAATTTATACATCCTATTTGATTCTTGATAAATTCGCCTAAGACATAGTAAAGATTAGAAGATAAATAGACAACCTAAGCAAAAAAAGATTAGGGTATTGTGTTAAACAGAGAGACAAGAAGAAACTAACTTAGAACCTCGCAGATCGAAGTGGATCCGTTCAAGTTGCTACTCTTCATAGAAGTATACAAGGCACGAGTGGATAGGAAAGACTGATATAAAAGTAAGTAGATGTGAAAGGGAAGCGAAGGAATAAAAGGAAATGAAGGTTAGCGAAAATATTCAAGTTATAAAAGTAGTCTGTGGCAGTGTCATCAATTTTCACTAAATTCATCAAGATTCCCCAATCACTGATTCATTTGTATCCTCCCAGGGACTCCAAACAGGTAGTCTACACCTCTACACTGTTTAGATCAGAAGTCAAAGATTTTATGAAATAGTGCCAAATCTTAGTTCGGGCACTTTGAAGTGTCTTCCAACTTGACAAGTGCAGGACATATTAAAGCCATTTTAGCTAAGTCCACAACATTATCGATTAACTTGCTTTCCTTGCCCAGTACCCTTTCCTGACCTCTAGATTACTCAAATTTGGATTCCGCTATATGAAAATTATGAAGACGCCTGTGACCATATATTCTACTTTTAACTGCCATGTCTCATAGCCGTATAATAGGAAAAAACGAACTTCGCAGATGAATAAACTCGTCCGTTAATGGGTGGTCGTATATCTCTCCAGCCTGCATCACAGATGACCCAAGTTGGCAAATGGAGTGGTAAGTCAAGTGGTTCATACATTCCAGGAATTAATCCCTTATCCTTAAACCAGGAGTGGTTACAGACCAATCCTGCAGCATCATTTATTTCAAAGGTGCAGAACACATGTCAAGTAGACTGAAATTTCTACATAAGGCGTTCAGAAGACCCTGGACGTTTTCAGAGTCTTCACCTAGTACGACAATATTATCTGGATACCCCATGTCAACCAGATGTGTCAAACAATCTAATCACTTATCACTAAGTGTTGATCGATTCACATGGGTTGATTATCAATAGCGAACCCATCTACCTGCCTAGTCTTTAGTGCTAAGGCATTGAACGAAGATTATCGACCAACTTTGAAAATGTGGTAAAGTCTATGACCCATTCGTGAGCACGTAAGTGGCTTTCAGACGACAGATGTATCACTTATCGCCTTTTCAGTACAACAATGCACCAAGTAAGTTTGCTGATTCACATATCTTAGCTAACGAATATATATAATTATCATTTTGACTATCTGAGATAGCCATAGTTTACCAGACTAGTATTTATACTAGGTGATGACTGAAGGTGAAATGAAAACTTGGATCGCGGTCGGTCTTGAACCAGAGACCACCGATCCACGGCTATCTCAGATAGTCTGAATGATAATCAACATCATGCTCCCTCCTCTCTAATTCATTTACATTTGGATCGGGATGAGAAATCCTGACTAGGTAACAGCCAGTGTGAAAACGATCGAGCGGTAGTAACACATCATGAATTCACATGATAGTCAGGAAAAAATCCTTGGTGATTGATGAAGTAAAATAAAAATCTGGTCAGCAGTCGGGTCTCTTAGTTTATTTGGTAGAGTATAGGTTCGAAAAATCGTTGATCGCTGGTTCGAATCCAGTTGTGGTCTAAATTTTCATCTCACTTTCAATCATCACCCAGTATGAATATATATTAAGTTTGAAACGTGATTAGCATGAAAACAATTATAATCAAGGTTATTACTGACGACTACTACTATTACTCCTAGGTTACAAGACAGGATTATATTTTGAGATGTGAGAAAGATACCAGTCCTCACGACATGAAACAGCTGTACAACCTCAAAGTTACACATAAATCTTATCTTATTGTTCACTGGTTAAAAGTGGTTTTGTTTAGACATAGCATCAGCTGTTATTAGGAGCAAACAAGTTGATAAAATGGGGAATTTTAGAAATTTAGCAGTATCGAAGACAGAAAAATGGAGAGAGAGAGACGATTCGATTACCTGGAAGTCAGTATTACAAATTCGAACGAGATCCATACTATTTCACAAAAGTAAGTCTAATTAGCCATGTAAATTACTTTAGCTATTAGTGACTAATTGACTCACTAAATAAGGAAAATAATGTTAAAATTTATTATCTGAGAATTATAATGATATCATCAGCGGTTAAACAAAACGAAAATAATGGTACCATTAAGGTGAAGGAATACTAACTGCAAACTGAAGACAATAGGCTTAATACTGACATCTGAAATACTATTCCACAACCATAAAAGTTAAGATACTCAGCTGATGACTGACTGATCCATTTACTTCTTAGACAATAAAACGATATGATGTCACTTATCATATTGGATTACTTTTATTTAGTTAAGTAAATCGAATTGCCAGGATCTATTTGGTTAAGAATTCCTAAAAATTAAAAAGTAATCAAGAACTGTTCGACATATTCAACTCTATAACAAATGTGCACACCTTATTCTCATTTCGACAATATATAAGATAGTTGTGATTTGACAGACTAGTATTTATATTAAGTGATGACAAAAAGTGAAATTTGGACCGCGGCCGGATTCGAACCAGCCACCACTGGGGTTTCCTGCCCGATACTCTACCAACTGAGCTATGAAATCCGACACCTGACCAGATTTTTTACCTTACTTCAATCATCATGAATTTTATGCGACTACCATGTGAATTCATGACACGTTACTACCACTTGATGGTTCTGATACTGGCTGCCTAGTCAGGACTTGTTATCCTAATCTAAATGTAACTGAATTGGAACGGATGAGGGAGCATCATATTGATTATAATTTTGATTATCTGAGATAACTGCGGTTTGCCAGACTAGTATTATTACTAGG